CACGATCTCGCGCTCCGTGAGTTCGAGCCCCGCGTCGGGCTCTGGGCTGATGGCTCAGAGCCTGGAGCCTGTTTCTGATTCTGTGTCTCCCTCTCTCTCTGCCCCTCCCCCGTTCATGCTCTGTCTCTCTCTGTCCCAAAAAAATAAATAAACGTTAAAAAAAAAATTAAAAAAAAAAAAAAGAATTTGACTTGCAATTAGTACTTTTTAGGATATTATGTATGTAAAAACTTGCTGAAAAATATCATATATATAGCTTTGCAGATCATAAAGTTTCTCCAATTATTTGGAATTAAACCTTAACTCAATGTTTCTCAAACTGATTTTAACTCTTCTGCTTCAGAATCATTTGGCCAAATGCCTAGGTTCCACATCAGACTGAACCCTGGAATCTATATTTGAAATAAACTATCCTGATGATTCTAATGCATACTAAAGTTTAACCTCATCATTTCATAAGGCACTTATTTTTTGAAATTGTCTTCTGGCTTATATATAACTTATATTGTTTTATTCATTAAAAATGTTAACTTCCATTTAGGCAATTGAAAAACATCAAAGAAAATGTTCATTATTGAAGGATTGTTTACCTATTAAAGAACAGTTCACTTGTGAAAAAAGGCTGCCTAACCTCATCCATATTTTACCAATGCTGGCTAATTCTTATTTTCATCATTTTTTAAATGTTTATTTACGTTTGAGAGAGAAAGACAGAGAGAGAGAGTGTGTGTGTGTGTGTGTGTGTGTATGTGTGTGTGTGAGAGAGAGGGGGAGGGGCAAAGAAAGAGGGAGACACAGAATCTGAAGCAGGCTCCAGGCTCTGAGCGGTCAGCACAGAGCCTGACATGGGGCTTGAACCCAGGAACCCCGTGATCATGACCTGAGCCGAAGTCAGACACTTAACCAACTGAGTCACCCAGGCACCCCAGTTCTAATAATTTAATTTGTAAAATATGACTTTCTAACCTAATATTAGAATTAACCTCTTAAAACATGGGAGTATTTTCCTTTGACTTGTGTAATAAAAGGGAAATGATCTTTAATATGTACATTTGACTAGAGTGATTAACGTTATAACTCATTTGTTTTTCAATTACATTCCTTTGTTACCCAAATAAATCTTGCAGCCTCGGTTGACACAATTTCCAAAGAATCAAATATTTTTTTTTAAAAAGTGTCCAGCCAACAAAGACAACTAAAGAATTCCAATGTCTACCTACTTCCTTCATAGTATTTTGAAGAGAATTTCTTAATTAGGTTTCTAAAAAGTCCTTCCTAAATTCTCCAGTTCTCTTGCTACCCTGAAGTTGTTACTGAACATCCCACATTATGAATTTGAAACCAACAAACATAATTATCTTCTCCTCCTTCCTGATTCTTTCTATTATTTACATAGATATAGTCTCTGCAAATATTCTTTTTCTCCTCACTTGTATATCATGATTATTGTAAGTCAGAAGATCTGAGGACCTGACTGATAGATGCTCTCTATTACTTACTTCTAATACTTGCTTCTAATGTGAATAAGAACTGACTGAAAATATGATTATACACCTGGAAGTTTTGATGGTGGTCTGAGATTTAAAAATTCCATTTCTATCAATATGCCCTTAATATTACTGTTATCAAGAGAAACTAGCTGTGTGAATTCTCTGAAATAAAAAATATATTTTTTAAATGTTTTTTAATGTTTATTTATTTTTGAGAGAGAGACAGACAGACAGACTATGAACAGGGGAGGGGTAGAGAGAGAGGGAGGCACAGAATCTGAAGCAGGCTCCAGGCTCTGAAGCTGACAGCACAGAGCCTGATGCGGGGCTCGAACCCACTAAACATGAGATCATGACCTGAGCCGAAGTTGGATGCCCAACCAACTGAGCCACCCAGGGGCCCCAGAAAAACATTTTAACATTTGTAATATTGGCATCTAGTAATATAAAATTTTGTGGTGTATAATTTCAAAATCTACTATGATATATGATGTGTAATTAAATATGAAATGCTACACAGTACGTATTCATTGTTGATTGCAGGCCACAGCAAAAATCTTTTCATGTTAATGTTGGTACTTTCACAGTTAAATGTGATCGAAGTACCATGAAACCATATATGGACTTCAGATTTTTGCCACAGGGAAATTTTTATTACATGCTTTGCCTTCAATTTACTTTAATAACATTTAATAATAATATATTGCATTATGTAGCACCTTTTAGCCAAGGATCCCAAAGCACAATATAAACATTAATTCTTAAAACTTTCTAGAAGATTAGTAAGTATTTTTAAACTCATTAAAATTTTAATAAAAATATAAACACATGCTATAGCTGAAGCTAACATATTAAATGACTTAGTTTGCTAGAGAATAGAAGCTTTACAGTTTTAGCTCCTGGATTTTGAAATTCATTGTTTATTAAAAATAAAACAAAAGGGTTTTTTTTTCTTAGTGCAATGTAATACATATTCATTGCAGAAAAATTTAGAAAGTACTTAAAAAATATGAAAAAGAATTTAAAATTACCCACTCTACAACATAGAGGTAAGCACTCTTAATATTTGGTATACTGTCTACAAAACCTCTTTACATGCACATGTACAAATATACTTTTAACATCATATTATCATTAAACATGTGTGCATTTTCCCGCCTAATATTTGTAGCATTTTCTAACATTTTGAAGTATTTTTGAATTTATGACTTTTCAATGACTACATAATAAACATTAGGTGAATACATAATGATTTATTTAACCATTCACATACCTTTGGATGTTTAGGCTATTCCAGGTTTCCAAGATTATCAGTAATCTGGTAAGGGCCATCCATATGCAAAACATCTTTATCTTCCCCTCTGTTTATTTCTTTAGAGTGTATTTTACAAGTGGAATTATTGTGTCAAATGGCATTAAAATAACCTTAGCTATTTGTATGTGTTAAGAATTCAGTTTCCAGAAAGATTTTACTCTTTTACTTAACTATTTGTTAAATCTTTTACTTACAAAGTTAAAACTGGGTTTAAAACTCATGATAATGGGTGCCTAGGTGGCTCAGTAGGTTCAGCATCTGACTTTTGATTTTGGCTCTGGTATAGTGAGATGGAGAGCCCTGTGTTGGGCTCTGACCTACGTATGGAGCCTGCTTGGGAATCTCTCTCTCTCTACTTCCCCCAGTTTGCATTCTCTCTCTCTCAAAAATAAATAAATAAATATTAAAAAATTAAAAAAAAAAAAAAAGATCTCCTGATAAAATAATCTGAAGCTAAAGAAAAATAAGATAAAAGCACAATGATTAAGAGAGTTGGCTTTGGAGTCAGTCATTCTGAGGTTTGAATTTAACCTGTGTGGGTTCCGGCAAAATAATTAATTTTTAAGTCTCAATTCTACATCTGTAAATTGGGGATTATAATGCCTATTTTATGGAGTTGCTATAAACTTTAAATAAAATGAGATATACAAAGCAATTAGAAAAATTCTGGAAATTTCTCACTAGTTAAATGTCTCTTCTACTCCCATGGATGTTAAAATTTACTTATATGCTGACAAATCATAATGATACAACCCCAGGTCACTGTTTTCTGAGTTTCTGAGCTGCATATCCAGTTCCCTACTTGACATCTTCATTTGAATGTCTCATAGGCACCCCAGTCATAAAACCGCTAAAACTCTAATATTTGATATATTTTTTACAAGTCTTACTTAATGCATATAGGCAAATGTATTTTGTTTTACAATATCAGGTCATTATGAACTGTATTTTCAGGGTTCTCCAGAGAAACAGAGAAATCTATGTCTATAGAGTGAGAAAGAGAGAGATTTTTAAAAATTGGTTCATGTGATTTTAGGGCTGCCTAGCCCAATATGTGCAGGGTGAGTTTGGCAGCCTGGAGACACAGGGAAGAACCAAAGTTATGGGTTGAGTCTGCTGGCAGAATTTCCTTTTCCTCAGAGCTCGCAGTCTCTTTCTCTTAAAGCCTTCAGTTAGATTAGATGAGAGACTCAATTACATTATAGAGGATAATCTGCTTTGTTCAAAGTCTTCTAATTTAAATGTAGGGAGATGGTGGAGCATGAGGACCCTAAGCTCATCTCCTTCCATGGATACAACTAACATCCACATCAGTGTAAATAACCCAGAAAACAACCTGAATACTGGCAGAGCAGACTCTCCACAACCAAATGTAGAGAAGAAGCCACATCAAAGAGGGTAGGAAAGGTGGAGTTCTGACCCACCAGACTGTCTGCTGAAGGGAGGGATACCAGGGTCCTGGAGAGGGGAAAGAGACAGACTCTCATACCCTGGAACAGGAAACCCAGCATTTGGTTCTGAAACCAAAAGGGCATAATTTTGCAAGTTCTTACAATCTGTGGGGCTTAACACCTGGAACTTTAAAAATCAGCAGGCTCAGCTCTGAGAAAGCCAGGTGGGTGAAAGGAAACCAAGTCCCTGCCCTTAAAGAGACAGCACAACAAGCAATCCAGAAGAGATGCAGCATAGAAGCAGCAGGTTGAAAAATGTCCAATGTATATGGGAGGGAGATTTGTTTACTAATCTCAGTGCATGTGCTGGAGATCTTTGGGAGACTTCTCTAAGAACAAAAGAGCTGTCTGGAGCCATTTCCCTCCCCTGCCTCCCAGCCTAGAAGCATAGACACCTGTGGGAACAGTGCAGTGCCAACACTCTCTATCTGACTTGCTAACAGGGAGCCCTGTGTTCACTGCCCGTGTGTTCTCCTGTGGACACACCCCCCTCCAATATGCCCTTGGCCAGAGCCCGTCTTGCATGGTGGCACAAGCCTGGCAATGTGTAAACAGCCTGACAGGAGCCAGCACCACTTCAAAGTGATTTCTGCCCTAGGGAAAGGGGAAGATAACCACACACACCAATCTGATTGCAGTCCCAGCAGTGGGCTGGGGGCAGACATTTGGTTTGACTGCAGGCCCTATCAACCAACAAAAGCTTCTTAGGGGACAACACAAGGGAAGCACCCTCCAGTTTGGTGTTATCTCATCTCTGGCAAATGCCTGGTCTGACTAAACTCAAGCTCAAGGTGGCCCAAGACTGGCCCACTAACAACACAGGGACCAAACTCTGCCCAAAATAGGCAAAAAGAACCAATGCATCCAATGGGACTGAAAGCAAAAGCATCTCAGTCACAACAGCAGAGCATACATAACACACAAAGGAGACATACCTGAAGCACCAGCTCCTGGTGAATAGGGGATATTGCACTGTAGGGCACTACCGGACCTCTTCTTCAAAAGGCCATTACTTTTAAGAGCAGGAGATGTAGCTGACTTTCCTAACAGAAAGAAACAAACACAGAGAGTTAGACAAAATGAGGAGACAGAAGAATATGTCCCAAATGAAAGAACAGGACAAAATCACAGCAAGGGAACTAAATGAAATAGAGATAAGTAATGTGTCTGATAGAAAATTTAAAGTAATGGTCATAAAGATACTCATTGAACTTGAGAAAAGAGTGGAGGACCTCAGTGAGACCTTTAACAAAGAGAGAACAAACATAAAAAAGAACCAATCAGACATGAAAAACTCAATGAATGAAATGAAAAATGAACTAAATGGAATAACTAGTAGACTAGAGGAAACAGAAGAATGGGTTAGTGACCTGGAGGAGAGAGTAATGGAGAACAGTCAAGCTGAACATGAGAAAGAAAAAAAAAAAAAGAAAAAGAAAAAGAAAAATGGAAATTGACTTAGGGACTCAGTAACACCATCAAGCATAATAATATTTGCATTATGGGGATGCCAGAAGGGGAAGACAAATGAGAAAATTTATTTGAAGAAACAATAGCTGAAAACATCCTGAATCTGGGGAAGGAAACAGATATCTAGATCCAGGATGCACAAAGAGCCCAAAACAAAATCAACTCAAGGAGTTACACACCAAGACACAGTAATTAAAATGGCAAAAAGTAGTGATAAAGAGAGAATTTTAAAAGCGGCAAAATAAAACAGTTACATAAAAAAGAAACCCTGTAAGGATGACAGCTGATTTTTCAGCAGAAATTTTCAGGCCAGAAAGGAGTGGCATGATATATTTAAAGTGCTGAAAGAAAAACAAAACAACTTGTAGCCAAGATTACTCTATCCAGTAAGGCAATCATTCACAAAGAGATAAAGGGTTTCCAGACAAACAAAAGTTAAAGGCATTCATGACCACTAAACCAGCCCTACAAGACATGTTAAAGGGGACTCTTTGAATGGAAAGGAAAGATCATAAGCAGGAGTAAGAAAAGTAGGAAGCACAAAAGCAGTAAAATTAAGTATATCTATAAAATTCAGTCAAGGGATTCACAAAATAAAAGGATGTAAAGTATGACATCATATACCTAAAAGGTGGACAGGGAAAGGAATAAAGAATGGGTTCAACTTTAAGTGACCATCAACTTAATATGGACTGCTATATGCATTAGATGTTGTATACAAACCTATTACAACCTACCACAAATAAAAAACCAGTAACAGATATGCAAAAAATAAAAAGAAAGGAATCAAGTATATCACTAAAAAAGCCAGCAAATCATGAGAAAAGGGAGCAAGAGATGAGAGAACAGAGAACTACAAAAACAACCATAAAACAAGTAACAGAGTGGCAATAAGCACATACCTATCAATAAGTATTTTGAATGGACTAAATGTTCCAATGAAAAGACACAGGATGACAGAATGGCTAAAAAGCAAGTCCCATCTATATGCTGCCTACAAGAGACTTATTTCAGACCAAAAGACACATGCAGATTGAAGTTGAAGGGGTGGAAAAGCATTTATCATGCAAATGGAAGTGAAAAGAAAGCCAGGGTAGCAATGCTTATATTAGAAAAAAATAGACTTTAAAATAAAGACTGTAACAAGAGACAAAAAAAGACACTACATAATCATTAAGGGGACAATCCAACAAGGAGAGATAACAATGAAAGAGGGTTTCAATATTCACAATATTCACAAATCAATCCATGTGACACATCACATCAACAAGAGAAAGGATTAAAACCATTTGGTCATTTCGATAGATGCAGAAAAACGTTTGACAAAATACAACACCCATTCATGATAAAAATTCTCAACAAAGTAGGTTTAGAGGAAACATACCTCAATATAATAAAGGCCATATATGAAAACCCACAGCTAACATCACATTCGATGCTGAAAAACAGAGCTTTCTGCTTAATATCAGGAACAAGACAAGGATATGCACTCTCACCAGTTTTATTCAACATAGTACTGGAAGTCCTGGCCACCACACTCAGACAAGAAAATGAAATAACAGGCATCCAAATTGGTAAGGAAAAAGTAAAACTTTCACTATTTGCAGATGACACGATACTATATATATAAAACCCTAAAGACTCCACCAAAAAACTACTAGAACTAATAAATGAATTCTGTAAGGTCATGGGACACAAAATCAATATACATAAATTTGTTACATTTCTTTTTTTTTTTTTTCAACGTTTATTTATTTTTGGGACAGAGAGAGACAGAGCATGAACGGGGGAGGGGCAGAGAGAGGGAGACACAGAATCGGAAACAGGCTCCAGGCTCTGAGCCATCAGCCCAGAGCCTGACGCGGGGCTCGAACTCACGGACCGCGAGATTGTGACCTGGTTGAAGTCGGACACTTAACCGACTGTGCCACCCAGGCGCTCCAATTTGTTACATTTCTATACACTAACAATTAATTAGTAGAGAGAGGAATTAAGAAAACAATCCTATTTATGATTGCATCAGAAATAATAAAATACCTAGGAATAAACTTAAACAAGGAGGTGAAAGACCTCTACTCTGAAAATTATTAAGCACTGATGAGCGAAATTAAAGATCACTCAAACAAATGGAAAGATATTCCATGCTCATGGATTGGAAGAACAAATATTGTTAAAATGTCCATACTACACAAAGCAACCTACAGATTTAATATAATCCCCATCAAAATACCAACAGTATTTTTCACAAAACTAAAGCAAACAATGGTAAAATTTGTATGGAACCACAAAAGGTCTAAAGTAGGCAAAGCAATTCTGAAAATGAAAAACAAAACTGGAGTTATCACAATTCCAGACTTCAAGGTATATTACAAATCTGTAATGATCAAAACAGCATTGTACTGGCATAAAAATATACACATAGATCAAAGGAACAGAATATAAATCTACATTATATGGTCAATTAATCTTTCACAAAGAAGGCAAGAATATGCAATGAGAAAAAGACATTCTTTTTTTTTTAAAGCTTTATTTATTTAATTTTGAGAGAGACAGAAAAAGCACAAGTAGGGAAGGGGCAGAGAGAGAGGTAGAGAGAGAATCCCAAGCAGGCTCCACACTTCCAGTGCCAAGCCCAATGTGGGGCTCAAACTCATGAGGTCATGACCTGAGCCGAAACAAAGAGTCAGACGTTTAACTGACTGATCCACCCAGGCACTCCGAGAAAGATGATGTTTTTAATGGTGCTGGGAAAACTGGTCACCTACACGCAAAAGCAAGAAACTAGACCACCTTCTTACACGATACAAAAAAATAAACTTAAAATGGACTAACGACCTCAATGTGAGTCCTAAAAATATAAAATTCCTAGAAGAGAGCACAGGCAGCAATTTCTCTGACATAAGTGGGAGCAACATTTTTCTAGATATGTCTCCTGAGGTAAGGGAAATAAAAACAAAAATGAACTATTGGGACTACATCAAAATAAAAAGCTTCCACTCAACAAAGGAAACAAATTAACGAAACTAAAAGACAACCTACTTAATTGGAGAAGGTATTTTCAAATGACATATCCACTAAAGGGTTAGTATCCAAAATAAATAAAGAACTGACACAATTCAACACTCCAAAACCAAGTAATCCAATTAAAAAATGGGCAGAAGACATGAACAGATATTTCTCCAAAGAAGACATACAGATGCTCAACACCATTCATCACCAGGGAAATGCAAATCAAAACTATAATGCACTATCACCTCATAGTTGTCAAAATGGCTAAAATAAAAAAAAAATTCAAGAAACAAGTACTGTCAAGCATGTAAGGAAAAAGGAATGCTTGTGCACTGTTGGTGGGAATGCAAAATGGTGTAGTCACTGTGGAGAATAGTATGGAAATTCCTCAAATGATTAAAAATAGAACTACCATATGAAGCAGTAATTTCACTACTAGGTATTTACCCAAACAATACAAAAATAGTAATTTGAAAAGATACATGCACCTCTATGTTTACTGAAACATTATTTACAATTGCCAAATTATGGAACCAGCCCAGTATCGATCCATAGATGAATGGATAAAGAAAATGCGGTGTATATACATACACACACACACACACACACACACACGCACGCACACACACACACACACACACAAATGGAATACTACCCAGCCATAAAAAAGACTGAAATCTTGACAATTGCCAACAACATGGGTGGATCTAGAATACAAATAAGTCAGTCAGAGAAAGACAAATACCATACAGTTTCACTCATATGTGGAATTTAAGGAACAGAACAAATGAGCTAAGGAAGAAAAGGAGAGACAGACAGACTGAGAAACCAAGAACCAGACTTTTAACTCTAGAGAACAAAGTGATGATTACAAGAGGGGAGGTGAGTGGGGGGATGGATGAAATAGGTGAAGGGAGTTAAGAGTACACTTACTGTGATGAGCACCGTGTAATGTACAGAATTGTTGAATCACTATATATATAACACTGTACTGGGATATATATATATATATATATATATATATATATATATATATATAACTATATAACTATACTGGAATAAAATAAAATAAATAATAAAATAAAATAAAAAAAATACATATAACTATATATATATTTATATATATAACTATACTGGAATAAAAAATAAAATAAATAATAAAATAAAATAAAAAAGAAAAGGAATACCCTCATAGAGAAATGATTCTATGACACCAACAGGCAAACCACAGAAGAAATATAAATGGATAATAAATGTATTAAAATATTCAATCTCACTAATCAAATAAACGTTAATATGCCATTTTCATCCCCCCCCTAAAAAAAAAACCTTCATAGCTATATCTAAACTGATTTGTCACCGCCAAATATCTGGGCACCATAACCTAGCCAAGCTGACACATAAAATTAACCATCACACTAAATGTATGCATACTAATTACTAATTAAATGACTCCTTATTCCCTAATCTTATGCTTTTGCAGTTTTCACCAACTCACTATAGCCTCTCAGCATTTATCTACCTGTACAAGTCAGCATACCTAGAGCTGATGGTCTTCTCCCAT